ATGCCGTTCAAGCATCAATCTTCCGTTAGAAACAGCCATATCTCTCGTAAACAACACCTTTAGAAGGCATTAAAAAGTCGTGTAACCCTTCTCTCTTTCCACACAACTTTCGAACAACAACCGTTCAATGCGCCTCTGAAAAAGAGCCCCAAGCATGTGATCCGATGTGTTCTCCTTCCCGCACAATGGACAGCCCACTCTCATCACCAACCCCCAAACAGGGGGTTTACGCGTTGGCGAAATACATACACACAGATCCGACTCATCAAGAAGAATGGTACGGCGACCGTGAGTCGATCGCATTTGCTAAAACTGAATGCGAACAACGCTTAAGCTCTTTGAGGCAACTATATTTTTGCGGGTGAATGGTTTTGGGAGCTGCAACTTGCTCAAGAAGCATTTGCGCTTGTAAAAAGCGAAAAGTAGGCCGGCTGATAGACATCATTGCGTTAGAAATGCGTTTAGATAATACAAAGACAATGATAGTACAATCTGAGTAAACTGATTGTGTGCAAGTGCGTCTTCTACCAAAGATTGTAATCGGATTGCTATCGAGATTGGGATTGTAATGTTGAACGACAGTCCCTCCCCCTCAGACTGGTTACACCCCTGGATTCAGATGAACATCGTTAGCGCTGCAAATGCATGTTTGGTCCTACCTTCCGCAGCAGGACACCTAGAGAGTACTTCAGTTCGTGTACGTCGGCCACTGTAAGTGAGCGTTACAAAGAGTAGATAGCGCAACTCCAAGCGAAGCTCAAAGGAGTTCCGAGTAACACGATTCTACATAGAAACTTGCACACTGTTTCCTATCTATCGTAGGATATATCCATATTATTCATCGAAGCATATCGCTGAAACGCTCCGGTTGCGTGGGACCCGTGCGGGCAACGAACTACGAAGTATCTTTATGAGCGATAAGGGCAACAAGCCTTACTTTCAGGAGGCTGAAGTGCGCCGAATGATAACCTTCAATCCATACTCCTGTAGCAGTTAGTGTGGCAATCGGTCTGTGACGGAAGGCTAGCCGCTGCCCTCCTATTCCAAAGCCATTTGCGGGACAATCGCCGGTGGTTCAACCCTCGTGATTGGCATGCCGTATCGTTGGTGCCTTGCTCCATGTGCCGTATATCATACGATAGTCTGGCAAAGGGATTGCTAGCAGTCTAACGTAAGTTTCATTTGTCACCTGATCATCCTGCGCAAAAAGTGATGTCCATGAAATTACACGAAAACCGAATCCACTCATTTGGGGAGACTTTTATCCTCCACCACCCTACTTTCACGGCACCGTAACGCCGCAGACCCCCGTCAACACCGCATCCAATAGTACTCAAAGATGACATCCTCAGCTTCATTCGCGCTTCGGACCCATCTGCGCACACCAAGAACAAGACCGCTATACAGCACAGCAAGCCATTCAACCACTCTACGTCTTCGAGCCATCAATTTCCAGCAGCGACGAAAATGGTCGTTACTGCCAGACGCGCAGGAACGACGCCTGAAACGACTGTTGGATGAAGCTAATAACCGCGCACACGACCCCGAAATACAAGCAGTGTACTTACGCGCCCTCGGCAGATTAAAACCAGATGAAGTTGTGCGTCGCGTTGAACTAGGCAAGTACGCGGCGGGTGACAATGTTATCAGGGAGTATGTGAAGGCATTGGTGAAGACGGGAGCCATTGAAAGAGTGAACCTTCCAAAACTGATCGGGTCTGTTTCTGGTACCGGCGCGCGAACTGCAAGCATGGGCGCGCAAACAGCGTCGAAGGTTGGTGGCTTAGGCGGTGCGCTGGATGGTATTGGTAACGCCGCTGTGTCCGGTAGCGTCGGGGTTAGCGGTGCAGCAGGTCTAGGAGCAGGCACAAATGGCACTTCTGCTGTAGCTAATGCACTGGGGGGACGTGCGGGTGCATTATGGGCGAACGGGGCAAACGGGGGTGTGATGTCTGGAACGGCAGCAGCTCCGCTACATGTGGCGTTAGCAGAGCCGTCAATGCTGTCTCAGCTATGGCGCACAGTTTCGGGCGCTGGGCGTAACGTTCTTTGTGCTGGGATTTCTAGGGATGATGATGGAGGAACGCGGCATGTCGCGCGGAATGGGCATAAACATGGACAAGGCGCCTGAACCAGAGATCGGGGACGCAACGACATTTGACGACGTGAAGGGGTGCGACGAGGCGAAAGCGGAGCTCGAGGAAATTGTTCACTTCCTTCGTCAGCCGTCTGCGTTTACTAGATTGGGCGGAAAGCTACCGAAGGGGGTGCTTCTGATGGGACCACCTGGAACGGGAAAGACATTACTGGCGCGTGCGATTGCTGGGGAAGCCAAACGGCCGTTCTTTTACGCAAGTGGGTCGGAGTTTGAGGAGATGTTTGTCGGGGTTGGGGCGAAACGGGTGAGGGAGTTGTTCGCGGTAGCGAAACAGCATGCTCCATGTATTGTGTTTATTGACGAGATTGATGCGATTGGAGGGAAACGAAATCCAAAGGACCAGCGCTTTTTGACGATGACGTTGAATCAATTCCTTGTTGAAATGGACGGGTTTCAGTCTAGTGAGGGCATTGTTGTGATTGGAGCGACGAACTTTCCGGAGAGTTTGGACAAGGCTTTGATACGGCCGGGAAGATTTGACCGGCATGTGGTGGTGCCAAACCCGGACGTAAGGGGCCGTGTGGAAATTCTGGAAGCGCATACAAAGAAGATTCCGCTGCATGAGGATGTTGATTTGGAGATCATTGCGCGAGGGACGCCTGGGTTTTCGGGCGCTGAGTTGGCGAACTTGGTTAACATTGCGGCGTTGAAAGCGGCGGTGGACGAATTTGTGGCGGTTACGATGAGCCACTTGGAATTCGCAAAGGACAGGATCATGATGGGAGCGGAACGAAAATCAGCGGCGCTGAGCGAGGAAACTAGACGGATGACTGCTTATCACGAGGGTGGCCATGCGTTGTGCTGCGTTTATACGAAGGATGCGTTCCCCGTGCACAAGGCCACTATCATGCCGCGTGGACAGGCGCTAGGGCTGGTTGCTCAGCTGCCGGCAAGGGACATGACGTCGATGTCGAAAGCGCAGATGATCGCGAAGATAGACGTATGCATGGGCGGGCGGGCGGCGGAGGAACTGATATTCGGGGCGGAACAAGTATCAAGTGGGGCGTCTTCAGACTTTGAACAAGCGACCAAACTGGCGGAAGCGATGGTGACGCGGTACGGCATGTCGGAGAAGCTGGGCATGGTGGTGTACGACAAGGAGCGGGAAAGCGGGGAAACTCGCGCCGTCATTGAAGGCGAAGTGAAACGGATTGTGGATGAGTCGTACACGCGGGTGAAGCGGCTGCTGAAAAGGCGCGAGCAGGAGCTGCATCGATTGGCGGACGCGCTGCTCAAGTACGAGAGTCTGACGGGCGAGCAGGTGCGACTGGCTGTGAGGGGAGAGCTGCGCGAGCTGCGGATGAGCGCTGCGCCGGACAAGCGGCGCGAAGCGCAACGCGCCACCGGTGCTGATGCCGTGCTCGAGTCGCCGCGCGCCGTGGGCGGCGACAGCGGTCTGTGACTGCTGGCTTTGTTTTTGTGTTATTTTTGAGCGCTTCTTGTTGGTCGCTGGTGGTGCTTTTTGGTTGCTGCCTGGCTGCGGCTGTCTGAGCTTTGCGCTTCGCGCGTGCGCCTTTCGCTTCGCGCGGAGTGCGCTTTGGCTTTCGCTTCGCGCCTGACTGCGCTTTGGCTTTGGCTTTGGATTTCGCTTCGGCTTTCGCTTCGGCTTTCGCTTCACGGCTGGCTGCGCTTTCGCTTCGCGACGCACTGCGCTTTCGCTTCACGGCCGGCTGCGCCCCCCGCCCCACGGCCGCGCTTCCGCTTCGCTGACTGATGTTGCGCGCTGTGCGCCCCGTGGCGCGCGCTCTGCAACGTTCGTTCGCCGCGCCGGCGCCGCAGCACGCGCCGCTGCCACGCGCGCCGCTGCCGCCCTGGCCGCACCGCCAGTCGCGCGCATGGCGTCCGCCGCCGCCGTCCCCCCGCGCCGACGCCGCGCGACAGGCCAGCGCGCGCGCGCAGGCCGGCGCGCACTCGCACACCGACCCGGCCACGTGGGGAACGGACCCGCGTGCGCGTCTGCTACTCTCCTACCACGACCTGGAAAGGGCGCTGGAAAAGCGCGGCTTGAACCGCGCGCGCGTTCTCATCGGCGGCGCGCTGCTGCTGTTGGGCGGCGTGGCGGTGTGTTGGCCGCGCATCAAGAGGTGGGGCGCTGTTGAAGGCGCGGAGGTTGCGGCGGCTTCCTTGCAGGAGCAGCAGTTGCAGATGCAGGCGGCTGTTATGGTGAGGGGTTTGCTGCAAGATAGGGCTACTGGCGAACAAGTTGAGGCGCTTTTGAAGCACGCTGTGCTTGGCTTGTTGCAGGATGATCACTTTTATGAACGCGCGGTGGAGTGGACTGCGCGCGTGTTGAACGACGCTCTGCAGTGGGATAGTGTTAGACAACAGGGATCTGACTATGTTTCGGCTGTGTTTGACAAGGAACAGAGTAAGGAAAGTGCTAGAGTTTATCTTACTGAGGCGGTTCAAGCCGTCGTGGACGACACTGATGTGCAGGATAGCGTGGCTACGGCTTTGTGGTCGGGGGTTAGAGCTAGTATTGTTGGTAGGAGAAGAAAGCATGTGCCGAACAATGAGAGTGAGGGGGGTGCGAAGCTTAGTGCCGATCGCAGCGCTGACGAACGCGCCGCAGAGCAGCGCGCGATGGCAGCCGCCACTGTGGCGGCGGATGTGACTGACCGTGCGGACAGCCGGAAACGCAGCGCCGTTGACGGCGGAGATTGACCAACTGCGTGTCACATGTATGTATCATAACATAAAGTGCACCTCTTTCATTTCTGTCTTGTGGCCGAGGAGCTGCTGCTCGTTTTCCAGGAGCATTGCTCTTCTTCTCTGCGCGCCACGAAGGCGGTGTGCGTATAAAAACACAGGGTGAACGGCGATGTGACAGCAACGCACACACGCTGATGTGGCCGAGTGGTTAAGGCGTCAGACTTGAATTCCGCCACCCGGCATGAACACGTCATCTGATGGGATATTCCCGCGCGGGTTCGAACCCCGTCGTCAGCGTCGCGCTAAGCTCTCCTTTTTTATTTTTTCTCTTCCTTTTGTTTCGTTTCGTGTCTTTTCTTTCTCTTCCTTTTGTTTCGTTTCGTGTCAGTCAGTACTAACTCCGCGGAGTGCACTCCACACACTGTGGGCGTCTCCCAATGCGAACGCAACGCAGTCGCACTCGCTGCCGTTACAGACGTCTAACCCTTTTTGCCGCACCGCGTTGCGCCATGCCTGATGCCGCCTCGCGCTATTGCCGCTTGCACCCGTCCCATGTACCACACTCATCGTCCCCCCCCGCCTCGTGCTCATCTGCGTTGCTCTTATGCCTCCTCGCCCTCTTCTCTGCCGCCGCGGCAGAAAACTCCCTTCTCCCGTTTCTCCCGCTTCTCCCCGTCCCGACCGACAGACAGCCCCGCCAGGGCGACGGCGTTGGCGGTGAGGGCTACACCATCTTGCCGGTGTTGCGGAACGAGCAACCTGCAACCGTCATCATTCTACATGGCATGGGCTCTACGGGAGAGGCTTGGGGATTTCTCAGTCTTGCTTTGTCCTTCTTTTCTCTCAACTATGTAAAGTTTATCATCCCTACTGCCCCGCTTACCCACGTCACTTACTTGGACAAGCAGTTGCGCTCGTGGTATGATATACGAACCTTTCGACAGAGTGCTGCTGCCAATTTGTCGTCGTTGACACCGGCACAGCTCTTGAATCTGGTTGATATTGATCGACCTCAGTTTGATAACGCTGTTGAAAGGGTCAATGATATTATTCGAAGCGAGGTTGAGCGCGGAGTTAACCCGCAGCGTATTTTGTTGTTGGGCTTCAGTCAGGGCGGTGCACTTGCTTTGCATGCCTTTTTGAGAAGCCCGTGGTCGCTTGCTGCCGTTATTGGAGTTGCCACTTGGATTCCTTTCATTCAGGAGTACCCTTCTGCAATGTCGCCAGCAACACGGAACAGACATATGCTTCTAATGCACGTAAGTTTCACAAACGCAATTGGCATGCCACGCGTCATGTGTTGCAGCGCGCCCACCAACGCTATTTGCTTGTTGCTCTTTTCTGACTGCGTGTTTCTTTTGCGCCGTGTGTTGCTTTGTGCGCGTAGGGCACTGATGACACCGCTGTACCGTATGTGTTTGCGCAGTACTTGGCGAATCGACTATCCTCTTTCAGAAGCAACGTTAACTTCACTACGTTTGCAGGTGAGCCGCATGTCATTCTCAACGTGCAGGTCATCGAAACCATCGAGCACTTTGTAAGCCAACGTGCTCCAGGTACCATGCGCTATTTGGACAAGCTCATTAACGACATGACCGAAAAGTTTGGCAGTTTATCATCGCGCCTCGAATCAGTACCTAACGTAAGCATGTGACGCTTTCACGCCAACTAAGATGCGCCACCCATGCTGCCACCGTCGAAAACGAGGGAAGAAAGAAAAAAAAAAATCATGTGTGATTTGTTATACAGTAAAAAGATATGTACATGTGCTTTTTGCTTTTGGCTTGCTCTTTTCAGGGACAGTTGCAAACGCACGGACATTGACATCCGCACCCTGTATGCGAGAACGAACTGTGACAGCAGCATTCGGTGTCACAAGGACGTAACATAGATTTGCCGCATGTTCGTCCAGCTTTCCAAGCTTCAAACACGCTGTCCATCTGTCTATCAATCGTACTTCCATCATTCTGACAGAGCCACGACGGCAAGTTGGTAAACCACTTGAGCATAGGCAAATCGCGTCGCTTATGCTGCAAATAGTCCAGAACCTCCACTACCACAATCGCCCAAAGCATCTCAGTAACGTAGCAACGCTCCGCATTGGTGCAGGGTCGAGAAGAGCGTTTCTGCACTTGATGGCGAAGATCACCCGTCAGCATACAGATTATTGCTGGCAGTTGAGCGAAACGATGGAATAATGCGGCATGGAACTTGTCAGTGACAGAGTGCAGAATGCAGGGAGCGGACCTGTACATGGCTTCGTGCACTACTCTTGCTATGCGCAGCTTGTCGAGCTCGTGCGATTGTAGAAAAGTGGGTGTGAGAAGTACGCTTCCTGCGCCGTCCTGCACGGTTTGATCCTTGATGAGCACGAATCGCTTGCCGATGGTTCGGTAAGTTCGGAGCACATTCAGAGGCTGCAACAATTGGAAACAGTCAGATGGATGAGATTATTAGTGAGGTGGGATGAAATGGATCAACTTACCCATGCTTGGCGTTTCGGGCGGCCAAACAGCCAGGTATGAGCAGTGCGACACGAAATCTCGAGGAATGTATTCTTGGTGATTCCAACGGTGCTTGTAACTCGAGGGTTGTCGAGTGACGAAGGTTGGGAGCCATTCGACGGCTCCGTGTTGCGATCGAAAGACACGGTATGCGGGGCGATGAACTGCGGCGCAAAACACAACATGGGTGACTTTTCCACAGCGAGTAGTTGGTGCGATGAGGAATGATCGCCGTTTCCGAAGCAGGGCAGTTTGGCGAGCAAAACGGCCACATTTCTGCGACGACGATCATGTCCGAGCAGTCCGGAGTACGAGAGAGCGAGGATTGAAAGAAATGATAGCACGATATCGCTGCTGGATACGAGAGCGAGCGACGGATCGGTTACGAGACGATGAACGAAAAGCGCCAGTATTGAAAGCACGCTGCATAGCGTGAGCGTTGCAGATACGTATGTGGGAACGATGACGAAGAAGGAGAGCGAGTTTCCGCGTTTATTTCCGCGAAACATGCGCGCAAAGAAGAGATGCGCGAGCACGCAGGGCAGCAGCAGCAGCGAAATCCACGCGGAAGCGTGCTGCAAGCTGTGCAGCGGGGCGGGGGGGGGCAGGGAACGGAGGGGGGAGACAGGCGCCATGGGGACGGGGGGCTGCGATTCGACGGCGATGCGACGGCGATGCGAGCACGAAACGAAACAGGCGCGCGGCGCCGTTTGTACAATACTACACACACAATATTTGGGCGCGCTCCGGCGTTCACCGTGGCGCTTTCGAGTCAAACACGCTCACCGCCATCCCGCGCGCAATGCGCGTCAAGCGCGCAGAGCTGCGCGAAAGGTCGTCTGCAAGCGCGCGCGCCGTGCTCTTTTTGCGCTTAATTTTAGTTTGCTTCCGCATGACGCGTGCGCGCTGCTACGCTGTCACGGAGCGTCGCGCCACTGTAATTTCACGTGTGGCGCGCTGCGCTCGCGCTGCCGCTGCTGCCGTTTGTGGGGAGTGTGTGTTGGCGCGCTCCACACTGCGCTCCGTGTGGGAGCAGCTGTTGCCGCCGTCCAGCTGGCCCCCGTCTTCCTCGCCTTCAAAACTTCAAATCTCGCCCCGCCTTCCACACTCCCCGCGTGAAAGCGGCGTCAAACGTATGTACTCGCGATTGTTTGCATAACTGACCCCTCGTGTTCTAACTTTAGCAGCCCTTGCTCTTCGTCATACCTTGCTCTCCAACACTCTACCGCGCTTTCTGCAAACGTATGCATATGCATGTCAAACACAATGCACCCTGCACTTCTTCCTCCAAAGCAAAAACCCCGCCCTCCATCCCAATCCAACTTCATATCACACATTGATTCTCAACTTGCCTGGAAACCCTCTTCAACCACTCAAGCTCCTCCTCCTTCAGCCCAAGCCAAAGCCGGTGGCCCTGGCACAAATTAAGTTCGTAAACGTTAGAGTTGCCCACCTGCAGTTTCACATTGCTCACCCTGCGCAAATTCAACATCCAAACCTGACCCTCCTTCAATTGCATCCCACACTGCGCCACATTGATCATGCTAACAGCCCTAAACATTATTCCAAACGGGCCACACCCCTTCAACACTTGAGACACACTCATCGTGTACATTAGTCGATCCGCAGGCGCTCCCCTTGGTACCTTCGGTATACAATTCCTCTCTCCCATGCACCTGTCTTTGTACAGTTTCTTCACATCAACCACAGTGGCTTTTGTCACGCTGTCCGCCTTCCCGTAGAACACAGATAAACTTCCCGGTATACATTGGCATCCTTCGCTTAATGTAGTGCTCGTCAACAGTATTGTTATCAATAGTACCACCCACTTCATCTTCAAGGAAACACACACAAGTGCTCAACTTCAGCCCTTGTCTTTGTTAAAGCACCTCCTCTGTCGCTTCACACCTCTCACCTCAGCCCACCGAACCGCTACCTCTTTATAAAGCCACAAAGGAGCGCTCCCACCCCACTCCGCATCATTATTCATTGCCAGTGCACATTGTTTCACTCAGAGCAAACCATGCTACCGCATCCTCGTTTCTGCTACATTTCCAAATACGGATATATCTCCTTCGTTCTTTCTCGAACGCGAAACTCATTCGTTTACTAAATGGTTCAACGTCATGGGCCCACCAAAAATCGCAATCTTTTCATACTTTGGAGAGCTCCCAACCCCTATACAACACTTCTACATGCGTAATGGCCGTATATTACGTCACTGATCTTAATATTATTATTACGCTCTTTGCACGACCAACATCTTGGCGTTTGCTTTTACTGCAGGAGCACATCGCAACATATTTTGTTACGGACGGGCGTCTACTTAGTAAGACTACCCCGTTCGACACGTACATGCCTTCTGTTCAAACACAATGGACTCCCGAGACAGTTTCTTTTTTTCAAATTGCCCCGCTAAATCCATTCTTGTGCACTTTGAAATGTTGAAAAGTTCCGTCAGCATCTGCCGCAATTGAAGGGTACCGTTGGTAACAACATCGCAAGACTCGTGTTAAGTGCTGAATCAGCAATAACTGAATCTGCACACACCGTCGTTCGTAATCTACTCCACTCTAAGTACGTCTTTATCTTCCGGATGACGTTCCATGTAAACCGCCACGTACGAACATGTGGGAATGATCTTGTAGCCCTTTTCTCTCGCGAATGAGGTCGCGTGCTTGACAAGCTTTGCAGCTACACCCTTCCCGCGTAGGGCGGGTGGAGTGTAGGTGTGGTTCAAATCATACACTTTATCTGTGTCTGATACTATGTACGCCAGGAACGCCGGCTCTT